CAAAGGAGAGACTCTTTAAAATATTCGGGGAAAATACATTTTAAGCTAAGGATTTGCTTTAAATTAGAACACAGTGTTGTTGCCGTTGACATTGGCTGAACCAGGAGATAAAATTACATTATGAGAGCTTCTATTGTAGAAAATAAGGACTTCCTTTAAGTGTTACATTCTTTAGGGCATTCTCCGAAGCTAACATGGGGATCTATAAAACAGCCATAGAGACAACTGGGCTTGTAGCAATGGTCCATTAGCAATGGATGGCAGGCACTTTTGTAGCAAGCAGAAGTGCTGAAGGTCAGAAACGACAATCAAACAGCTCCGACCCCCAAGAAGACTACTGTCTGGTAGGCCTGGTGCTAGGAGGTGTCCTGTGCAGGAAAAAAAAGTGGTCCCACAAAACATGAGAAATGATTGTCATAGTACAGACAATGTAGAAAGGATCATACCGTCGATTGTTGTCATTTTAGGTGCCCTAACATCTGAAAACATTTCCCATTTGGAAGAGCCCTAAAATAGAAAGGAGGACATCCCTGCCCCTTGCCCCACCTTGTACTACAGAAACTGAAAGAGGATACTGTTCCTACCTCCTAGAAGCTGGAATGCTGGCAGAGTCCGGGGCCAAGCCAATCCATTTGCTCCTGTCAAAAGCTTTACCTCTTGAGAAAACCAGGAGAATCAATAGTGTAAGGATCTCAGGAAAAAGAAATCAAAAATAGATAACTAGCTTAGTCACCATGACTCCAGGAGATAACGTTCTCACACCAGTTTGTTCCATGGACACCAGTCTAACCAGCTGGCGGCCTTGTCAGCTTTTGGGTGGAGTGATGGAATAGTCCCCTGTGACGGAGCCTTCTTGCGGGTGGGAAAATGTGCTGCAGAGGTAGATTGTGGGTGTCATGGATTCTAAGAAAGAAACAAGCTCGTCTCCACTCAAGCCAGACTGTAAAGCTCCAAACTCGAGTGGGTGGGCTGTGCGTACGTATTCTTACCACCTTTCCCTTTATGCCTGTGGGACTCGAGTGTAAACTTGACAAGGTGACAGGTTGAAAGTCCAAAGCATGTGAGAGCGCCTGAGCTAGAACCGACTCAACTGTGGGCTTTGAAGGCTGTGTATATGCTGGTCGAATGGGCCGTGTGGATTCATCTCGGACCGCCAGGCCTGTGTCCGTAGCCAAGAAACGTCCACCTTTGCTTTACGCTCTGGCCTCTCTGGGCCGTGGGAGCCGTGCGTGGCAGCGCCCTCTTCCGGCCAGTGCGGCCACAAACGAGACTGCCAAGGCCAAGGGCGGGCACGGCGGGGATTGGTGTCCGAACACGGAAGCGAGTCTCCCCAGCAGGGGGCGCCCGCCATCCCGCTTGCCGGTCGCGAGAAAGCATGGGCCCGACACTGGAGGGCGCGCCGGGCGAGGGCGCCTCCCGAGCGTTTAGAGCGTCTCCCTCCGGGCAAGTCGACCCCGGCCGGGGCTCCGGGAAGTCAATCCCAGAGGGGTCGCCGCTGTCTGTCCTTCCTGCTGCCTGCGTGGTGTGGGGGAGGGGAGAAAAGTCTGTGAGAAATAACAGGAGGACGCGGAGGGACCCATAGGCGAAGGAAGAAACATTTTGGAAGACTTTTGACCTGGGGGTGTGATGTGTAAATCCTGAAGATTCCCTTGTCGGGTCTAGGAAAAGGCCTGGCCATCCAGGTGAACAGGTGTCCCTTCCTCACAGCCCACACGGACGGTCCTGATGGAGTCGTTGGTCCGGTGGTGGCAGGAAGGAGGCCGGGATCCAGCGTCAGTGACCCTCTTATTGTGGTACTGTGAGGCGATTGTTCATGGAGGGACTGGTGGTGCAGGGAACTGGTGCAGGTCCGCCGAAGTTGGCATTGGTGGCGAGATGCCCATGAATGAAGGTATTGATGTGCTTGCCTTTGTCTCCAGGAACCAGCCACCGTCGCCTCGGCACCGGTGGAGTCCTCCTGGGACCCAGGACTTGGGGTGGTCTGTATGTACTGTTAGGAGAGCTGGTGCTGAAGCACGCAGTCTGGTCCAGGAGAAGGAGAAAGAAGATCCATCTCGGACTCACGTTTTCTGTGGAAATCAGGTCCAGAACGACTGAGATCCCTGATTTTAAAACCGTTGGCCCAAGCACGTCATACTATGAATTCTCCCTCCTGCGCCTGTGGACACTGATTTCCCATGCAGTCGTGTCAACAACTATTCTCCACTTCCTTCTGGCACCCAGAACCTTCTTTTCTGAGGGTGAAGAGTGAGTTGTCCATTCCAGACATGCCTACCACCCACCTGCCCTTGCAGGGACTTGTCATACCAGGTGTTTGCCAAGGCCCACAGTGATTGTTGTTTCTTAAGGAGACCAGTGAACTTTAAAAGCTTACATCTCGCAAGTGGTCGTTTCTATCAGCCCATCTAATGCCGTAACCCTGTAAGGAGTCAGATATTACTGACAGTCCTAGACTGCAGGGAATACACTCAGAAAGGAATGCACCTTACATAGATAGGCTTACACCCCAGGCGATATTTCTACTTCCTTAAAGATACAACCTGTGTAAACACTTTTTTAAGTGAGTTTTTCTATTCCAAAGAAGTACATTGTATGTTTTCTCATATTTCTCTGCCTCCAAATAAAGATCCCCAACTCTTCAATGTACAAAGCATATCATCAGGAACCCTCCAAACTCGAGATCTTAGGGCTTTCTGAGTAAGAGAGACCAGGGGTCAGGCTTTCTGTCTCTGACCTGTTAGTCCAAAAGAGAGGTTTACTACAGAGAAGATAACACCCAATGAGAGATATATGGGCCTTGCAGAAGGGGATATCCCTACTTTAAACGTGGACCCTCCATTGCTTCTTTCCTCCTGATTCTGTAGAAATAATATCAGATTGTCTTCCTAGACCTTCGGGTGGAGGCCATTTTTCAGGTTTGTCATGGTCTTAAACATCTTGCCCAGTAGACTAACTTCATGCTAGTTCACAACTAGAATGTTTACCAGCCGAACATAGGGTGCTGATGACATCACCGCAACGGCAGAATCGAGCTTTGTGCCAGCTTTGTCACCCAGCGATTTTGAAACTTGGCAAGTCACCTCATCCTCCTCCTCATCTCTAAAGTGAAGGTTACAGACTAAGGTCTTTCTCAACATGAGCATTGCTGTCCCTTTCCCCTTAATTAAGCACCACTGATGTGTACGAATCCAGGAGGCACTTTGTGTGGGGAGCATATTGGTGTGTCCATATTCAGGTAAAGGGGAATATTTGATATGAAAATTGATTGTCCTTACAGGAAGTATTCATCCAATTCAGCCTAGTTTTTTTAAAGGTAGTGAATTAGGTGAGATTGAGTGGATTTAATGGATTTAGGACAAGAAAATAAATACACAAATGAAGACTGTATTGTTTTATTATAGCTGCCTGGCCTCAGGTCTGCATCTCGGTAAGACAAGGGAAGAAATTAGCGCATACACCTTCCAAAATCGGCACAGAACTCCAAAATCAGGCAGGTTAGAGAACCTGTTCCCTAAGAGAGTAAGAAGTGGCCCTGTAGGCATCCAAGTTATAGTAGGTATCATAGCTGGCTGTGATGGGTCTCCTGGGAAGCCAGGACTCTAAAGCCTTCTATTTAATCAGGCAAGGACAGGATAAAAGTTGACTAGTCACCAGCAAAAAAAAAAAAAAGAGTTTAGATTTAGCACCTAGAGTTCAATATCCTTTAGTATGTCTTCTTTATAATTGGCCAAGAAAAGAGGAACTGCCTCTTTTTGAACTTTACTATGGTCCTTCATTCTCTTTTTTAACTTTTATTGTGATTTGGGTGAAGGTTTGCAATGCAAATCATTAATTTCTCATTCAACTTTCACGCACGTTTTGCCTCACCTCGTTCAATGAAATCCTCTCAATGTAACACTTCTCCCTGTGTTTCTTGTTCCATTCTTCTTCCTTTTTCTCCTGAGGAGCTGCTGGTGGTTTTGAACTGCCGACCACGGGGATGGCAGCCCAACAGATAACCTCTACACCACCAGGCTTCTGTAATAAACTCTTATCATCTTGAATATTGTCTGTGATTTGTGTGTGACCATTGCAATGGATTGTTGAACCCAGCAGAGAAGTAGAGTGCTTTGGGAGGGATGGTTGGTGTCAAACCAGGGTCAAGAAGGATGACAGTGTCTAGATGTCTGGCCTCTGTCTCCTGAGAACTGGTCTTGGGGCCGGTGTGGAGTTGGAGCCTCCTTCTGCTTTTGGATAGCCAGAGGAAATCAGGCGTGCCCCCTTTGCCACTTCCCGCACCTACCATTCAACAAGAGGGAAGTGGCCCCTGCCTTCATTGAGCTTACAGTCTAGTGAAAAAGAAAAACATTCAACAAATCCTTTCGAGTAGGATGTACACATAGCAAGATACTTTTTTGAGCTTTCACGTTTTCTCTGTTTCTTTATGCCAAGGAGCCGACTGCTGGCTTTCCTCGGTGGATTGCGCATGGGAAGCAGAAGTTGCCTATCAGAAAATTCCTTTCATGGTGCCCAGGTACCATGGATTATCCTATAATTATTACAATATGACCTTTTGCAGTTCTTGAGAAGTCAATACTTGTACCTCTCCTGACACCAGGTTTCTATCCGCAAAGTTGCAGGATGGACCTGAGTTGACTAACGCGTTTGCTATCGGGAATCAAGGGTTCTTAACGTGACCAGTTAGCCCTCTGGACCCCGCGCACATTGCTCTTGGCGCATTTGTAGACAAATCACCAAGCGGATGCTGCATTAGACGACAGAAAAACCAAACGCACCGACGCGGAGGCCATCCGGACCAAAAAGCGCTCAGCTTTAGCGGACCTGCCCGAGAGCAAGCGCTGTCCACGGGGAGGTTGACGCCCTCCTGACGTAGCGGTCGCTTATTGGCTACTTGCAAAGCACTCGCTCTTTTCATTGGCTGACCAGATTCGGGTCTGAAGCTCCGCCCGCGGCAGGGACGCTGGCAGCAGCATTTCCGTTTCCGGTCCGCCTCCGGATCCATGGCGACGGCGAGCGGACGGAAATGCCTGGCCACTTTAGGCCGCTGGCGCCACCGGCGTGGAGCAGCCGCCCCTTCCCGGGTGAGCGCCCTCCCGCCCGCCCGCCGGGGCCGGGGCCGCGGCCCGGGCTCGGAGGGAACGCGTGTGCTCCGGGAGGAGCCTCTCCCCCAGCCAGCGCCCGCTACCGGCTCTTCCTCCCCGACCCGCAGGCCTTCGCCGCCCTGGTGCCCGGTGTCTCCCAGGTGGATAACAAGGGCGAATTTCTGGGGAGGAAGCCCCATCGCCAGCACCCCGGCATCCTGCAGCTCCCGCACGTGCGGCTGCCCCAGGCCCTGGCGCATGCGGCGCAGTTCCTGCTGCTGGGTAAGGAGCGCGGGAGGGAGGCGGGCCCCCGGGCCGCAGACCGAGCGAGGAGTCCACGTGCGGCCCTCCCCTCCTAGAGAGCCCGGAAGCCCACGTGGAGAAGCAGGTGCAAGCCCTGACCAACTATCTGTGGAGCCGGCATTTGCCCGTCGAGGCCGAAGAATTGCAAAGACAAGCTGTGCACCTGAAGACAAAATTCCTGCAGAACTCAGGTAGGGTTTCAGGATGCTTAAAGAGTAGGCCAGGGGGACAGCTCAGTCGGATGTGAAGGGCAAGAAATCATCTTACCATTTCCCAAATAGGCACCGCCGTTTCTTTGGCTTTCTGACCACAGCAGTTAGGACAGCGATGCCTCTCTCAAGAGGGTCAATGATTATACCTGTGGTGCGGGAGTTGGGTAAGGGGCAGTGGGGCTTCAATGTCCGGTCAAAAACTAGATCTTTGTTTTCCACCCACACAGGATTCCACTGGATTCGGACCTTCCGAGTTTTCAGTCCAATAAAATGGTCCCTATACAGCCAGCCCCCTGCGTAGTATTGAAACACAATCCAGTCATAGGCGAATGCATATAATTCATCCGGTTATGTTTATGATTGTGAATTCCTTTGTGTTACAAGACCTGTCTTTTATTCCTCTTTGTTCCCTGCACTCCCCACTGAACTTGACTTAGAGCAGGCCCTCAGTAGATACTTGCTTAGTAAGACAGAAGTGAACATAATCTTAAACCTTTTTTCAGCCCCTTTCCTCCGCACGAGGAGCCTGGTGGCACAGTGGCTATGCGTTGGGCTGCAATTCACAAGATCAACAGTTGGGAACCCCCAGCTACTCTAAGAGAGAAATGTGGGGCTTACTACTCCGAAAAAGAATTACAGTCAGAAACTCACAGGAGCAGGTCTACTCTGTTCTATGGGGTCTCTGCAAGTCTGCATCAGTGAGCTTGGTGGGGTTTTGTTGTGTTCTGTTTCCTCCACATAGAAATACTGGAGACTTCAAAAATCTTAACATTTCAGGGAAGTGAAGAAATCCCCCAAAGCATTATCTATGTCCTGTCTTATATCGTTACCACACATGCCTTGAACAAACCTGTGAGGTAGGGTTGGCTAACTTTGACAAACTACTGGTAGACAAAAATAGTGTATCAGCTACTATTTAAGCACAATTATATATGATACAATTGAAACAAACTAGTATTTGATACACTACAGTTATTCTTAAAGATGTTCCCTCAGTTCAACTTCTCTCTTGAGCGGAGGGTTGGGGGGTGAAGGGGTGTGTGTGTGTGTAGTGGGGTGCGGGTAGTTAAGGGCTGGTCGTTTATTCAGGTATTGGATCTGAGCCCTGTTCATCCTAGGTCCTCACCTCCAGCCCTTATTCTAGCCGCAGACCCAGCTCAGACAGAGGAGAAACTTCAAGGAGCTGTGCTGAGTGCCCTGCGCAGAAGTACTTACCATTGGCAAAAACTCAGGTAGGACCACTGGAAGTGATGCAGAAGAAAGAAACGTTTAACATTAGCAGGAACATTTGAGAAGTGCAATGACACAATCAGCTAAGTGTTTGTAAAAACCACCTGGCTTGTAAAGGTCCCCTGAACCCATTTGTGTCAGGGTGTGAAAGGGCTTTGCTGGAAGAGACCCTTCCAAAGATTTTATTTCCAAAAATTCAACAGTAACTGGTTATCTGGAAGGTAGAGGTTATCTTCCCTGTAAATGTGACTGCTTTTTCTGGCAGCTACGATAAGAGACTAAGTATGGTATATATGGCAGCAAGACTGGATGGTGGCTTTGCGGCAGTCTCCAGAGCATTCCATGAGGTAAAAGACCCCCAACTTCCAAGCTGAAGCCCTGACATCGGTTTCTGTCATCGTAAAGTAGTGTTCTGGAATAAGAATTCTTGGGACTTTGCATGTGTTTCGCCCTACCCCCATCCCCACCCCTGAAAGGATTTTGTGGTTCAAGAAAGGTTCAGAACTACTGTTTTAGGCACTTCCATTCAACAAAGAATTTCTATTGAATCTAAAAAGATATTTATCTTTTATTTACTCTGCCATGATCCCCTAACTTCTATCTACCAAGGCCCTAACTAACGCCCTCTCCCCGGGCACTGGGTGTATCTCACCAGATACGCGCTCGAGTTCCAGAGTTCCAGCCACAAACTTTGATGGACTTTGGCTCTGGTACTGGTTCTGTCACTTGGTGAGTAACGTTAGCTCTTTTTCTGCCGATTTTAATGCAGATCGTGGGACTTATACCACCTCAATATCAAGAGCTTGGGGAAAAAAACAGGGAAACTAGGAAAGCTAGGAGTTAGAATTTCTGTTTTTCCTTCAAATTAGGCATCACAGAAGAAGGTATATAGATTGGGGCCAGAAATGGCAAGTAGAGAAAAAGCCCATGTTTAAAAAGACTTTTAAAAAAGAAAGAAAAGAGAATAATTATAAAACACAAGTTTCCCATATCAAAGAACTCTGTCTACAAGTTTTTGGAGTTTTAAAAAATCTGTAGTTATAAACAAAATAAAATTGCTAGGTTTTTTCCAACTGTTGTAGTATCTTGTAGGGATGACATTTTTCCCGACAGTTGATTTTATGTTACTATCTCAGGGCTGCTCATAACACCTGGGGCCAGAGCCTACGTGAATATTTGTGTGTGGACAACTCAGCTGCCATGTTGGACTTGGCAGAAAGGCTCCTGAAAGGTGAGGGAAAAGTCTACGGGAGGCTCAGAGTTGAGGGCTTAAGAAAGCAAGGTGGTACTGGAAAGGGTATTTCCGTGGAGGGGAGGAGGGCAGGGGATATTTCAGGTCTCCTTACAGTGTTATGATCAGCAGAGGGTGGTAGATAGGTGCCTTTGCAGTGCCCTGGGTGGGTTGGGTGAGATTAATAGGAAAACCAAGCTTCTCTCCTTTTGAACATTTACTTACCCTATCTCACTCTCATACAGGGTTTTTGTGTCATCTTAAGGCCATCTTGGGTAAATGCCCATAGTCTGTCTCGATGGCTGATAACTTCGCTACACTCATAATTGCCATCTTCTTTTCCTCCACAGGTGGTTCAGATTCTAAGAAGAAGCCTTATGTTCCAGGTGTCTTTTTCAGACAGTTCCTGCCTGTCTCACCCAAGGTAAGTGACTGTGCTTGGAGTATTTTGAGTGTGGAATATAGCACATAGACACTACGGCCTCAGCTTCCCAAGCTAGCACTGGGCATTAGGAGAGAAAAGAAAGCTGTAGAAGAAATCAAGGGGCGAGACTTTTGTACCCCTGGAATAAGGAGACGTCTGGGTCTGTCATATTTCTTGTGTTGGTCCCCAGGTACAATTTGATGTGGTGGTTTCAGCCTTTTCCCTAAGTGAGCTGCCTAGCAAGGCTGACCGCAATGAGGTGGTTCAAACCTTGTGGCGCAAGACAAGCCATTTTCTGGTGAGTTGAGCTCCTTTTCTCTCTGCAGACAGCATCTTTAGTTTCATGACTGTCTTCCCAGGAGAGCCTGTTTTCATTCTTAGCCTTGTCTTTTGTTTTGTTTTTTTATAATTACTCTCTCAGAGACTAGTGCCCGTTCCTTTTATAGGAGCTCACTCCATCTGAGAGCTCATTCACAGCTGCTGGCTTTTTGTATAACTCAGGGCTTCCACGTATTTTCACCTCTGAACAGATCCTGATAGAGAATGGAACAAAAGCGGGACACCGCCTTCTCATGGACGCCAGGGACCTGGTCATTAAGGTAAAGGTCTGTGCTAGTCTGGGTACGTTAGAGAAACAAGTCCACAGAATCTCATGTATAAGAGAGAGTTTTATATAAAGGGTAAGTGCACATCAAGAAAGCATCCCCACCCAGTGCTGCCCAAACCCACAAGTCACATTAACCCATATGTCCAACACCAATCCACAAAGTCCTCCTCCATCTCACGAAACACACACAATGATGCCCACTGCAGGAGGAAAGCCAAATCAGTGAACGTGGCAGCATCTCAGCGCTGGCAGGGGTCTCCACATGCTGGCAGGGTTCTCCACAAGGCTGCTCCAGCACCCAGGGCTGCATCAGGGTAGGTCCATGTGGCTTCTCCTCAGGGATGTGTTGCAGGAAGTGAGCGCAAGAGACCCAAGAACTAGGAAAGCGAGGCTCACTGAGCCATTTATCTCTCCACCCTTCAATGAACCCCACGTGTTTATTGGCCAGGTTGGCACAAAGAAACTTTATATCAGGTTCCTTCATCCCCAACCTGTCAGTCACCATTTACAGGAATTCCCTTGAAAGCTGAAGAAACTGTTCCATGTTGCTAAGGCTGACTCAGGAACTTTGGCATCCCTATGTAAGGAAGTGGTTGGCAAACTAGGGCCTGCACACCGGATCTGGTCTGCCACATGTTTTTATATAGGCATGCACGCTCATTTCTCAATTAGCTATGACTTAATACAACGGACAGCAGAGTTGAGTAATTGGAACAGAGATAGGTTTTTCTTCTCGACCTGCAATGCCTAAAATATTTATTATCTGGCCCTTTTAAAAAGTTTACCAGTTCTTGGTTTGGGCATTACTAAGCCAAGAACCTTGTTGCCGTGGGAGAGCAAACTCATTTTTCCCAAAGTGGGATTGCTTTAAGATGGGGGTTCCTGAAAAGGAAGAACACGGTGCTGTGTGTGGAGCCGCTGTCTCTCTGGCTGCGCAGAAAGAGTTCTGTCATTAGGAGGATAGGCGGTGCCCAGGGTACGAAAGGCCAACTGACAGATGACTTTAATGCTGGGCTTCCAACCAGTTCTGTTATGGCCAATGAAGGGAAACAGAATTAGAGCTATTTACAACTTGGTAATTCATCTCAACACAGTAACTGGAATGGGGAAAGTTACGAGGTGTGTTAGGCCTGGTTGACCAGAGAAACAAATCCAGTGACACTCATATGTGTGTAAGAGAGCTTTATATCAAGAAGTCATTGTATATCAAGCCAACATCCCAGCCCAATGCAGTTCAAGTCCCTCCGTGCAGCACTAGTCCCAAAGTCCCTCTTCAGACTCACGCAGCCACATGCAGTGATCCAGACTGCAGGGCAAAGGTGTGTTGATCGATGGCGGTGGCCACATCACGGCTCTCGCAGGTCTCCACATGGCGCATCGACAGGAAGGTGAAGACAGAGAGGGTTGGGCAGCCTCCAGAGAGCCATTTATCTTGGTTGCACCTCCAAAGGAGGTCATCAAGCTACGAGCTGATTGACAGGCTAAACTCTACCCATATTTTCTTACAGGTGCCATGTAGGCACAAAAAAACTCACACACGGCAAAGTCCTGAAATGAGAGGCCGAGAAGAGGCATGGTACTCAGCCGCTTGATGAATGAGATTGGATTTTGGGCCAGACTGAGACAAGCACTCGTCAAAAGCTGTGTGGCCGGCGGCCATCTTTGAGTGGAGCAGTGCTGTTGAAAGCCCTCCATCACAGCTTGCTAAATGGACCCTCACTTTGAGATGATTGGCTTGACCCCTGCTCCCAGCAAACTCTTCATCGCACTCACCTTCACTCGCAACACACACAGCTTTGGGTCATCGAAAAGGCAGTGTGCCTTTGCTTAAATCAGTGGGTCTCGACACCTTTGGGGATCGAACAACCCTTTCACAGGGGTCGTCTAAGACCATCGGAAAGCACATATTTCGGATGGTCTTAGGAACCGAGACACCGCTCCTCTATCCGAGACACCACTCCTCTATCCATCTCCAGGTGGGTCTGCCCACATGCAGATATGCCCACCTACGAGTACCTGGCGTGAAGACTGTTACCCATGCTACACCATGCTTCAAGACAACATTTCATTTACTTGTCATTAGAAATGAATATTTCACAATAAATAATTACATATTGTTTTTGTGATTAATCACTATGCTTTAGTTGTGTTCAATTTCTAACAATGAAAATACATCAAAATTGCAGCTATGGAGTATCAACGAAAATAACTATGGTTGGGAGTCCCCACAACGTGAGGAACTGTAGGAAAGGGTCGCAGCAGTAGGAAGGTTGAGAACCACTGGCTTAAATGAACCAAACTGAAGCCCACTGCTATGGAATCTCTTGCAACTCAGACTGTAGAAGTGGATAGAATTGCTCCAAGTCTTCATTTTCTCCCATGGAGCAACTGGTCGGCTGCCATCACTGTCCTTTCTGTGCCACCGTATCCATACCCACTGCACATCGCGTGGATTCTAACTCAGCCAAGACTCAGTCCTCACAGGGACAGACCGTCCATCTTTCTCTCAGTAGTCAGTAAACCCCTCACCTTCCAGTTAGCAGTCCAGTGCCTAACCCACTGTGCTACTGGGGCGCCTGCCCTACACAAAAGCCTACGTGCCAACACTGGGCTGATCTTGGAATCACATCGGGATCTAGTGAGACTATAGATTCCTGGGCTCTCCCCTTAGAGATTCTCACTCATTTGGTTGTTATTGGAGCCCCAGGGGATTCCACGGACCAGTCAAGTGTAGGAGCCTCCGCACTGAAGTAAGGCTAAATAACTGTGTGCACCTGTACCTATTGACCCACAGATTCCTAATGACACAATGTACCTCATATGTAACCTAGCCATTGCCCTGTTGAAGCAGCTGGGTTCACACGAGGACATGATTTTGATCAGAATGAAATGCTAAAGAATGCCCCAACTAAGAAAGTCAAACCCATTGCGATTGAGTTGACTCCAACTCATAACAACCTTATAGGACAGAACTGTGTTGCAGGGCTGCCAACACTAACTCTTTATGGGAGCAAACTGCTCATCTTTCCCACAGAGCGGCTGCTGGGTTTGCACTGCTGATCTTGTGGCTAGCAGCCCAACTTGTAACCACTACACCACCAGGGCTCCTACTTAGTACATAGAGTGAATTTTGAGACTAAGCCCCTCAAACCCAACTTTTTGTCTTTTGTGGTTCAGGGAAAAGAGAAGTCACCTCTGGACCCTCGGCCTGGCTTTGTCTTTGCCCCCGTGAGTATTCAGCCTGTCCGCAGCAGGCAGAGACGTGCACACTTGGGAAAAGGGAATGGGTAGACCTAAGCTAGTCCCACTCCTGTCAGATTCCTCCCAGGGAGCCCTGGTGCTCCCGCCCCTGCCCTTGTGCGCTCTTATTCCCTAGTCCTTGGCTCCATCACCTCTGGTCTCTCAGTTCTCTCATCTGTGACTCACTTGCTCTTTTCTGTGTGTTAACAGTGTCCCCATGAACTTCCATGTCCCCAGTTGACAGCCTCTAAGCCCCTAGCCTGCAGCTTCTCCCAGGCGTACCATCCCATCCCGTTCAGCTGGGTATGTATGCTAGGGATACCGGGGCCTGGAGAAAACAGCCGGGGGAAGCAGGAAGAAAAAGTATCAGGTGGGAGGCATTGGACCTGGGGATTTTAGGACCTATGCATATCTGATTTATGGAATAAGGGGGGAAATGGCAAGAATAGGGATCAGGAAGATTGCTCCTGTATCTTTTTCCGCCGGTCACGATATGTTTACCTTAGAGCACGATGCCAAAGGAGGAAAAGTTCTCGCTGGTGATTCTTGCCCGGGGCTTTCCAGAGGAGATGCATCGCTGGCCCCGGATCACTCAGCCTGTACTGAAGCGGCCACGTCATGTGCATTGTCACCTCTGCTGTCCAGATGGACATATGCAACATGCTGTGATCACTGCCCGAAGGCACGGCAGGTATGGGGTGTTTTCAAAACCAGCGAGAATGTACAGCTAACATTGGCATTTCTTTTGCTCACATTGGCGTTTCCTTCCATAGGGATTTATATCGCTGTGCCCGAGTCAGCTCTTGGGGAGATCTTTTACCTGTGATCACTCCATTGGAACGTCCTCAGTTCCCTGCTCAGGATCCTTCTGAGGATTGAAAAGGATCTGTCACGAGTATTCTGTCAAGCCCACCGGGCCAACGCGTCCTGGTATCCAGGATAGTGATGCTGGTACTCTGTATGCCTGTGTTTGTTCGAGGATTTAATAAGAATAAAGTTTAAAAGAATGAAAATGGATTTTGTGATTCTTAAGAGGTATAAACCAAAAACTCAACTGCCATTGAGTTAATTCTGACTTAAAGTAACCCCTACACAGAGTTTCCAAGATTGCCTCATCTTTATCCCACTGAGCAGCTGGTGAGTTTGAACTGCTGACCTTTGGGTTGGTAATCCAACACTGAATCCACAGTGCCACTCTCCTGGCCCACCCTAGAGTGAAGAGACTCCTAGACTATCAGGGCTAGGTCTCAGGCAAACTTAAGGTTGCCTTCTCATATAGAAGCACTGCTACCAGAGACAAAGACTGGCCTGGGAAGGTGTGCTGGGAGTGGGGCAGCCGCCCCCAGCACTCTGACTCTGAGAACTGGCTCGGCAGGTCTCCAGGTTGTTATGCAGGTCACCTGGATAGAGGAGCCAGCAGCTGGTTAGCCTCTTTTTTTCCAAACTCCTCCCTTACATCTTTCCTAAAGCCCCGTGGTTACCCTGGAGTTTATACATTACCCTCAAGTTGGTCCCAATCAGGACTGAATCCTACGTCTCCACCCCAGTGTGTAGCCGGGACCCTTCTGTTGACTTGGTTTCTTTCTCAGTGTCCCCTTAGGCTGAGCAGTTTCAGGGCTGGAGCACCTTTCCCTGTAAAGCAGCTCTGTCCCTCTCCTCCAGCTCCTATGAGGAAATGGAGGCACAGAGTTGTGACAGTCTCAGTGTTGTAATACAAGAAGAATCAGCACTAGACATTTCCATGCCTGGAGCTATTTTTCTGGGGTTACAGGGAAGGGGAGTTCCCCGACCTCCTCCTTCCCACAGTTGCAGCAGTCCCACCTCAGCCCCACCTCCTCATTACCCCCAGGTGCCCCTAAATCCCCTCTGAAAGAGTAGGGTTCAAGTATCAGCATAGCAGTCTATACGGTTTGGGATGGGGGTGGAGAGGGGCTGGCAGGCTTAGATCAAATGTCCTCAGAAAGACAGGATGAGATTGTCCCCAACCAAACAGCAGTTAGGCAGCCATCAGAAACTCACATTTGGGGCTAGAGCTGCTCCAAGCCTGAGCGAAGGCATCCACAGCCCTTGGATTAGTCACAGCACTGAAGAGGAGGAGAAGGCACAGTGCTGGGCTGTGCCTGGCTGGGAGGCTGGAGTTTCTGGTTTAGAAGTTCAGGAAGGTCTGAGGCAGGGGAGGGGCCTCTAAATCAAGAGGGCGGGAAGCCAGGACAGAGCCCCAGTCAGCTATGCAGTGCTGCGCAAGCAGAGGCCACACTGAACAGAAAGGACATTGAAACTCAGGGCTGAGAACCTGCAGCTCTGACCTCCTGAGCTACCGCTCCTGCGCCAAGGGTTCTAACTCCAGCTGTCCTCCTGGGACCTCTGCTCCTGGAGCCACGGGATGGAGCCTCTCCTAGGAGTCAAACTCGGCTGCCTCTTTGCCCTGTTGGCTCTCACCCTGCTCTGTGGCCTCATCCCCATCTGCTTCAAATGGTTCCAGATTCATGCAGCCACAGGTACAGCCCTCCCTACCCTGTCTTTGTCCCCCTCTCCACCTGACCTACACCCTATGGATAACCCCAGAGGTGGCATCCTGAGGACCTCCTGCCCCTCCTCAACCACCTTTGCCTGTTTCTGCATTGCTAATTGCATTGCAACTTGGGCTTTTCCTTAGGCCGCCATCGCAGGGTGCTCAGTCTCCTGGGCTGCGCTTCTGCGGGAGTCTTTCTGGGAGCAGGGCTCATGCACATGACCGCTGAAGCTCTGGAGGCCATTGAATCCGAGATCCAGAGTTTCCTGGTCCAGGTGAGCAGCAGAGAGGCTGACCTGTGGGGCTATGAGACCAGGGGGACAGACAGCTGCAGGGGAAAGGGGCAGGTGATGATGGAGCCAGGGGCACAGGTGAAACCAGATGGAGGTGACAGCTCCTGTGTGGGATGAAGAAAGGAAATCTGACGGGGCTTTGAGTTTTTCACAGTGTATCTGCTATGTCATTCCCAGTGCAGCTACTTAGATATATTACGAAGAATTATGCAATGAGAAGTGACCATGGTCAGCTTCAGAACATTGTCTTCATTCTTGTTCTGTGGGTTTTGAGGACAGCCATGGGGATGAGGGGACACGGCAGGAAACGGAGATGCTCCATCCCGTGTAGCTCACTGCTACATCTCTCGCCCTAGAACAGGACAGAAAATGAGAGAAATGCATCTGAGGTTGCTGATTCCGCTCAGGTGAGCACTCCCCCAGGGCCCCTCCCTAAGGAGTGACATGACGCCCATCGTGTCTTGTGCACACCCTTGGAAGGCTTTCTGAAGAATCCCAGGAACTCCTTCCCTTTCCCACCTCAGGCATTGCAGCCAAAGGAGGAGCGACCCCAATCCTTTCAGGATCCCGAACTTAGGCTTTGCTCCCTTGGTCTCCCTGGGTCCTGGGTCCCGATTTCTACCTTTCTTGATAAGGACATTCTTTTTGCAATGTTTTCATCTACCCCTGCCTTCATTTCCTCTTCTTTTTTTTAAATGTCTTGTTACCACATTTCCCCTTCTCATCAATTTCTCCATCCCGTGCCCATCCAAAGTCCTTCCTGCCCCCTCTCACAGCCTCTTTCTGTCTCCAGGTGGACTACCCCTATGGAGAACTCATCATCTCCCTGGGCTTCTTCCTGGTCTTCCTGCTGGAGTCCCTGCTATCGCAATGCTGCCCTAAGATGACGGGGCCGTCGTCAACCGTGCAGGAGGAGGAATGGAATGGGGGGCACGCCTTTGAACTCCACAGCCATGGGCCTCTCCCCTCACCCTCCCAGGGCCCCCTTCGAGCCCTGGTTCTCTTGCTCTCGCTGTCCTTTCACTCGGTGTTTGAAGGTCTGGCTGTGGGGCTGCAGCCAACAATGGCGGCAACGCTGCAGCTCTGTCTCGCTGTCCTGGCTCACAAGGGGCTCGTGGTGTTTGGTGTCGGACTGCGGCTGGTACAGGTAGGCACCGCATCGCGATGGGCCATGTTCTCCATACTTGCATTGGCTCTGATGTCCCCTCTGGGCGTCGCTATAGGGCTGGCAGTGGCTGAAGGGGGCTCTGAAGGAGGGCAGGGTTTGGCCCAGGCAGTCTTAGAGGGAGTAGCAGCTGGCACCTTCCTGTATGTCACCTTCCTAGAAATTTTGCCCCGGGAATTAGGTTCTCCTGAGGCCCCTCTGGCCAAGTGGAGCTGTGTGGCTGCTGGTTTTGCCTTCATGGCCTTCATTGCCTTGTGGGCATGAGGGATTCCTGCCTCTTCTGGTGGACTTATGTGGAATGACCTGCCTACTTCCAGGGACACCTCCCCATGCCTCTGGCTCTCGGGTACTTATTTCTTCAGTCAGTCTACATGGCATTCACTAGGCAGCATCTCCGTGGACACAAAGGCAAACTCACTGCCACTGAGTTGATTCTGACTCATCAGACTGAGAAGAACTGTCCCTGTGAGTTTCTGGGACTCAAAATCTGTACAGCAGTAGAAAGCCTCATCTTTCTCCCTTGGAGCAGCCAGCGGTGTTGAACTGCTGCCCTTGTGGTTAGCAGCCCAAGGCCTAACCCACTGTGCTACCAAGGCTCCTCCGCCATGGGCCTGGGCTACACCTCAGCTTTGCCATAGAGGAGATCCCACTTCTCACCCAGGATGGAGAACAGGAGGTTGAGGTTGGGTGCCCATCGATCGGACAAGGTATAAAAACCATCACACAAGATTTGTGTCTTGTCCCATTTTTGCTTCCGTGAAAATAAAAGATCCATTATTTTTTACCCTTCTCCTTCCACCATGCTGTATTTTATTTCTCTTGGTTTCCTAAAAGCTCCCTGGCCCAGGAAATGGTAGAGTCGGGAGTGGGAAGGGCAAGTTGTGGAACCAGTATTTCTTCTGGAATCAGGATAACCATTCTATCAAAGCTACAGGCCATGCTCCCC